GTACCCAGATTTATGGTACCATTAATATGGTAAGAAACAATGTGTCATATATATATATGGTATCACTGATAAAAAAGGATTGGTATTGTACATGCATATGTGTAGATATGCCTATCATGTCAATGCCATTGTACAATATTTCTCCATTTATGTTCTAAATTCCTATGGTTGTCTGCCCATACCTTGTTTCATCCAGGTATTACATCAATTATAAACTTATGAAAAAGAAAGTAAAACACTATGGTCAACAAATTCAAGATGGAACACTAGACCGGAGGCATGTCCTAAAGGACTTTTCAAGAATGCTGGATAATCAGGTATGTGGGTCATCCATGCTTGTTTATGAATACTATAATGGTGAATATGTGTATGTACCCCAGCACTCACAGTCACATTTAGAGTCAATATATGCATCTGTTTTTTTATTATTATAGATAATTTGTGTCCTTGTTATAATCCACTTGGGCACTCCCTAAAAATATACACATATATCAAAGTCCTCTTTTTGGATGATCAATAGATATGTACATGTATGTATCACCAGGAAGTTCATTGCATTATATGGTCTTTTTATTCTGGACAATCTGAGTTCTGCTGTTATTCAGGAGAGGTGAATAACAAATGTGTTTCTCTTGTTTGTTATTACAATATCAGATTGAGACGATCGTCCTTTTCCTGTTGGAACAACAAGGGCTACTTGCAAGCAGAATAGCCAAGCTTGGAGAACGGCATGGAACTTTTAAAAACTTGAACAGGCTTCTAGATGCAGTTCTTGCCATTTCCATTTATGTAAGTTCTTACGTGCAGTTCTAGAATATTGGGGGCATGAAAGAATGACAATACCTAAAGTAGTGACTAAAAGCTTACTTTCAGCATATTGTTAGCAACTGCAAACTTGTAGTTTATGTGTAAATGATATCTCCCTGTTTAACAATCTTGCAGGGAATAGGGGCTGTTGTGGGAGCTATATCTCGCAATCTTCATGAACTTCAGGACCGACAGGGAAGCTACTTATCAATTTACGATCAGACTGCTCTTCCCCTCCAGGTTTCATTAATTGTTGATGCCTTGATCTCTTCTTTCTTTCTTAATGTTTTCATGCATGAAACTTGATGTTATTGTTTGAGTCGGAAGCAATCAAGATGTTGGTAATATATGATAATGTTTACTAGGGTTCACGTGCAGGATCCTGTCATTGATTCAGTAAGAGCAGCTGTGGACAGGTTAACCCATTCAACAAACTTCCTAAGCTTTTTGGGACAACATGCACTGATTGTGCAGGAAGATGAGCTGCCTACTCCTGTTGAGGAACGTGTTGATGATCAGAGATACCATTTTATGTCACTTCTCTTAAACTTAGTGAACACGTTTCTTTATATGGTCAATACATATATTGTTGTCCCTACAGCAGATGACTACTCATTGAGCCTTGGAGCTGCAGCAACTGTTTGTGGTGTTGTGATTGGAGCGATGGCTGTTGCACAGGTGTTTTCTTCAGTGTATTTTAGTGCATGGTCAAATAAGTCATACTTCAAGCCTCTTGTGTTTAGCAGTGTTGTTCTCTTTGCGGGAAATACCTTGTATGCAATGGCTTATGATCTTAATTCAATATGGGTTCTTTTGATTGGTCGTCTTTTCTGTGGGTAAGTAATTCTTCTACTTCTTCCTCTGATTCTTATTTTGGATCTGGCAATAGTATTTCGTTGAAAGTGGTGGTTTAGGAAGTTTTAAATTGCTCAGCTTTGATTAAAACCTAAACTTGCAACTCCTCTACTCATTTTCAATTGTAGAAATTAACACTAGCTGACTCAGTGACAATTGTCACAAACCGTGGTCAGATTTTAGTCTTGTGGTATAATTTCTTCTAGCTCTGCTCTTTTGATATATAGGTTTTAGTATTTTAACTCTCTCCCTCTGGCTTCTTCTTGGTCACTTGGAGAAATATTGATGTATTCCATCTTTCGATTTGAGATCAAAGTAGACTTTTCTGGAAGCATGTGCAATGTCTAAAAATTTGTTATAGGTTATGTGAACTTGGTTTAATTCTGGAAGTAGACAAGGCTCTCAAATGAAATTGAGGCAAGATTCGATGGATAAAAAGGGTGACTTATTTTTTTTTTTTAAGATTTGGATGTACTAAATGCTCAAGGTAAACATAAAATGTCGTAAGACTCAAGGCCTGGACATGTCCACCCATTGAATTATCTACTGATGTCAGGTGGTAGATTGATCAGGCAAACCAAAAAGAACACTTGGTTTTACATGAAATATGGACCAAAATAAAATTAAGAGGTCTAGTAGGCAAATTTTCATTTTGCGAGCTCTTTGACAGGGTTGGATTTTCTGTTACCAAACAAACTAGAGCTGATTGTTGTTTGTGACAATCTTACATACAACACCTTGTTTGTTGCCTAGGCCAAGAAGTCTGGAGTGTTTCTTGATTTATAGGAGACCTGAAGCTCGTTTCTGTGACACAAAGATGAAAAATGAGAGATCATTATGTTATGATTTGAGGACTCAGATTGAACTTTGAACTAGGAGTCGTGTAATGCAATAAGACTTTGAAGCTTTTTTCTTAGTACATCATCAGATAAATTGAAAAATTTGTGCTTTCTATATTTCAGATTCGGTTCTGCTAGAGCTGTTAACAGGCGTTATATCAGTGATTGTGTACCACTGAAAATCCGTATGCAGGCCTCAGCAGCTTTTGTTAGTGCTAGTGCCCTTGGGATGGCATGTGGTCCTGCTCTTGCTGGCTTACTTCAAACTAATTTCAAGATTTACAAGCTTACATTCAATGAAGACACTTTGCCTGGCTGGGTTATGGCTATAGCTTGGCTTTTATACTTAATATGGTTGTGCATCTCATTCAAAGAACCTTCTCGTGAAGATGAAGTGATACAACAAGAATCAAGTCGTGGTATGTTGACTCATATCAGTAGTTGGTTTATCTTTTGAACATATGCTGTTTTGTGTCTTTTCCATAAATCTTAATCTTCTTAAGGAGGCAATAGATTTAATCTAATTTGACTGCAATAGTTCTCATTTTATTTCTGCAAGCATTCTTTTGTCGTATTGAGAATGTTATTACAAACACATTATCAGTTATCAGTCTTGTGTCCTCCTGACTATAATAAGTCTAGTGAACGATGTCTTTTTTCTTTTAGAAAGAAAATTTTATATAATAAGGATATAGGTCTTTTGACTTTTGAGGGAAACTTTGAAGCTTCGAAGTAATCATATTGTTAGTGCATAGGAAAGAAAGTTGCTGCTACTGATTTTCATAAGTTGGTATGGGTAATAAATATCCTTGAACATTACTGTTTTCAACATGCTTGACATATTCAGACCCTTAAAAAAATGTTAGTTAAGTTTGGTGTTGACATGGTCTGTGGCACTGACTTAAGACTTTTAGACCTTGATAAGCGGGCAGTTCTTTGAACTCAAGTTTGTTGATTTCAGTATCAAGATCTATGGTGGGTCAATGAGACTTATAATTATAATTTTACCGAGACATAAGTGTGATTTACAGGGGATCTATTCCACGTACACATGATTGTGAATTATGCTGTATGAGAGTAGTGATGAGCCGTTTCCTGCTGCATCTCTCGGATGCAAACCATGTAGTTGCAGTTGTGGGAGCTAATAATTATCTGTCATGTAATTGACAGGAACAACAGAAAACGATGCACTCGAGAAAGGTCTTAAACAACCATTGCTCATTAGTTCTGATGACAAGAAAGAAGATGAAGATGGTGACCAAGATATAGATGAAAGTGAAGAAGCACCGGAGGAGACCCGTCAACCAGCCACTTCGATTCAATCAGCATATCGACTACTCACACCCTCTGTGAAGGTATCTCACTGATTTTGAGTTTCAATGAGTTTCACAGCTCAATTATTCCATTAAATGTATCTGAATCTTTGACGTCAGTGTTAACCTGAAAATAGTTGGAGGTCTGCCTTCACCTAACTCTAGTTGACGCTTTCAATTTTTTATTCTTATCTTGTATTTTGTTATTTTATCTTTAGTGCTAAATCTTTGAAATGTTTTATCTCCACTTCTGTCTGCATTGCTAAATCTTGGGGACATAAACCCTTTCTACTTTTCTGTGGTTTCAACAGGTTCAATTGTTGATATATTTCATGCTCAAGTATGCAATGGAGATTTTACTTTCAGAATCTAGTGTTATTACCACATACTACTTTAGCTGGAATACAAGCAAAGTCGCAATTTTTCTTTTCTGTCTTGGGCTAACCGTTCTTCCGGTAAATATTCTTGTTGGGAGCTACATCAGCAACATGTTTGAAGACAGGTAATTTTTCACAGGAAGAATACCTTCAATCTTTCTTTACGTACAGTGCTCTATTATAGTTGCTAGTTGAAAGTTCCATTAATATTTGTCCTGCTCACTGATGGATTTGTTCTTGTTGACCTGACCGCAGGCAAATTTTATTAGCATCTGAAATAGTGGTTTGCATAGGCATAGTTATGAGCTTCCATATGTTTAATCCATACTCTGTGGTACAATATGTCAGCTCAGGGCTCATCATGTTTGTTTCAGCCGAAGTACTGGAAGGTGATATATTTTTATTCAATTCAATTACTTTTTGGTTTATAGAAATGAAGGGAAATGCTACATAAAAGATAAAACTCCGAACAGTGTTTTTTTGGTTTACGTTGTAGTTTAAAAATCCTCCTCTCTTCCTCACCTTTCTAATCTCTCTCCTCCTCTTCTCTGTCTTCCTTAGAACATGTAAAGTAATATCAAATGCACAAAATTTCATCAGTAAATCTTTTTTCCAAAATGGTTTATGCAGCATATAAGAAAGTTCTCTTTCTTACACTTGTACGTGCAACCATCGTTTATGCAGGTGTCAACTTGTCACTTCTCTCTAGGGTCATGTCATCGAGGCTTTCCCGTGGAACTTACAATGGTGGATTACTTTCAACAGAAGCTGGGACACTCGCTCGAGTAGTTGCAGATGCCACCATAACTCTGGCCGGATACTTGGGGGAGAGTAAGCTCCTGAATGTCACCTTATTTCCTTCCCTCTTCATTTGCGTTATTTCCATTATTGCCACCTGCTTTACATACAACACTCTCTATTGATTCATCTTTATTGGCATCAGAAAAATGCCCGATCTCTTCCCAATTCAAAAACCTCCTCAATTTTTCCGTTGAAGTGTTATTATTTTTTAGCCGCGTGTATATTGATAGAAAACTAGGTCATTGTTTATGGTCTCCAATTCCTATAAAACCCCATTGTGTCCTACTGTACTCGCTTCCCCCATTTTTATACTTGCAATCACTTGAAATGCTTACGGGATGTTCTCCCGGCTTGTGCAAGCTAGTTTAAGGGAATTTTATTTATTTATTTTGGGTCTGAAAGGGCAAATGCTTAATTAGGAAAGAACAGGGTTACCAATGAAAAATGATTGAAGAATCTTTTCCTGGTGATCCCATTTTTTTGAAATATCAACTTGGTAGGCCATGATTGGTTCAGCCCCAAAAAGATGAAGAGTAAATGTATTAAGTATTCCCATAGGAAGTATTTACCCTTTTTATTGCCATTTTCATCTTGAAAATGAGAATAATTCTCTCACACACACGTGGTGAGAGTCCATTATATTATAAGATTAATATAAGATTCTCTCAAAGGGATGTTTGAAAAAGAAAAAGAAGAAAGGAGCCATCGAAAAAATGGACTTTCTTTTCTTCTTTGTCGCTCATCGAAAGTGAACATTGCTAATAAATCACCGGAAAATATGGTGTACGTGTGGCCTTTGACGATGATGCAATTATGTTTTCTAAACTATTTGGTCAATGGCTCCAAACCTACCCAATTAATTAAAGATAACCCTTAAAAATCCAAAAAAATAAAAAAGAAGATAAAATTTTTTCTTAGGGCTCTCGGCATTTAAAGTCTTCTTCCTTCTGTTTCGGGAAACTCTTGTATAAAACCCTGTTTATGCAAGCATTATTTCATTTGTAGACAGATGAGTGTTTAACAAATCACCACATGGTCCGCTTTTTTCAGCATAAATTAACCAAGAAAAATTGTGGTTATTAAATATCCATCTACTTCATGTTTACACCTCCGTTGGAGACGGTTTTATATGGTACATATCCTTTCAACGTTGGCAAATGCGCAATTCAAAAAATGTTAATAAGTGGAAGCTCTCACTCCAAAGCTCTATAGTATTTGTTTTTTCTTTTAATATAAGCGATACAGGAGAGGGTTTTTCACGCACAAATTACCAAGGTGTCAGAGTGATTCGAATATGAGACCGATGGTTTGTAAATCAAAATCTTTTTTTGGAGTCAAAGCTAATTATTTTTAAATGATTAATCAAAATAAGCAATGTATTAGTGTACCAATATGTTGTAGTTCTAAACTTTTAAATGAGACATTAAGATCCAACTACTTGTGTACAAGTAGTAGTTCAACTTCTTTATTAGGCTAATAAGTAAGTCCCCATGATCCCTTTGAATTTGATCATCTTCAAAAAGCCACTCTGGCATTTGAAGTCATTCCACATTGACTGCGACTGCTATTTTTGCTTTCCAAAAGTTCGTCGATAAAAGTTATAGACAATGTATTAAGTAATGATGTAAACTAAAATATGGGCAAAATTAAAAATGGCACTGTCATTGTTTTCATTTAGCTCCCAAACATTACACAAAAATGAGCTAGTCACGCCAATATGGTCTAATTCAGTGAAAATGGCATTGGCCTATAGACTAGAGGTCTTAGATTCGAACCCTTGTGGCGTCTTAGTTATGTTTGTGTATGAGAAACCTTTCTTCCCCTTTGTTTAGACTATAGCTTGTACCATATAAGAAAAGGCAAAAGTTTACTTTCGGTCTTTATAGTTTGTTAGTTTTACCCCTTTGATTCATGCAATTTTAATTTTGTCAATTTTATCCTTGTAGTTTCAATTTTGAGCAATTCAAAGATACGTTTCAATTTATGTCAAATTCCTTCAAACTTCATTAAGTTTTGATCAAGTGCCCCTCATGTGGAGGTTCACTCGAGCCATATAACAATAAAACACAACATGGAGCTCTTCCCATTCACTTTAGGCACGATTTTGGGGCTTAGGGTTTCAAAAGAATTTACATTTTTGGATTGAAATTAGGGCAAATTGGAAGGAATTTGACTCGAGTTGACCACCCATCTATGTGAGTGACACGTGGTCAAAACTTAACATAATTGAGAGGAATTTTGACAGAAATTGAAATATATTCTCGAATTGCTTCAAATTGAAAACTATAAGGATAAAATTGACAAAATTGAAAACTATAAGGATAAAATTGCAAAAATTAAAATCCACCCGAAGTAAATAATGCAAGCCCTCACTAACACTCAGTAGTACTAGTACTTCGCACCTCACACTAGGGCAATTGAGACCATAATTCTAAATGGACACAAGTGGTAAAACCGGCAAACTACAGGTACTATAAATGACTTTTTACCTAAAAAAATTAGCTAGTCACGATGTGAGCATTTGTAGGCAATTTTCAATTATAAATAAGTGTTAATTAACAGTTAGAAATCGCCCATGATAGACTTTTGCAAAATCCACCCGAAGCAAATAATGCAAGCCCTCACCAACACTCAGTAGTAGTACTTCGCACCTCACACTAGGGCAATTGAGACCATAATTGTTGTTCGGAGACAGATGTCTATTTAAATGGGGGTTTTTGGGTGGGAAAACTTAATGTTCTATTTAGATTTTTTTTTTTCGGGGTAAGCAATTCTAATATGCATCAATCACACATATCATGACCAAGAAAGTTTGATAGCGATACAATCTCCACTTGTCTAAAGGCCCCAGAATTGAGTCCACCAGCAGTTGTTTGGCGCAATTAAACAAAACCCAACTGTCCTCTTCCCTCCCCTGTTTCCTCTCTCTCTCTCTCTCTCTCTCTCTCTCCCCAAAACACTCTACAGCTCAGCAAATGGTACATTAATTTTGCTGAAAGCAAGCAGACACTAGTCCAAATTTCTAGCCCAATGTATAGCATGTGAAGCTAGATATTTGAACACCTAGTGTCACCACATAGCTCACATTCTTTTATTTTTTGAGTTTTGGGGTCTATAAATTGACCGAGCTAATTTCTAGCTCCTATGTCACAATCTTGTGCATTGTCTTGAATCTTTTTTTGATCTCCTCCATTTTCTCTGCACATCATTGGGTTTGTGAGCTTCTTTCAGTACTTACCGCTGCTGAGATCGTTGAGCCCTGAAACTTGTAGTAAATATATATATATATATATATATATATAAGGAACTGCTTAAGGTTTGTAGGGCAAAGCAAGCAAGCAAAGCAAGCAAGCCCATTTACATAAACACACAAAAGCTCTTTGGGTAGGAGTTGTTTTGAAAGTGGGATATATTACATTATACATAATGGGTTTTGGGTGGTGGATATTGTTTGGTGCTGCGCTCGGTTCTCTTCTTTCATGGCTTTTGTGGAGCTGAAACAGGTACCAGTTTTTTATTATTATTAATTATTTGTGAATATTGTGAGTCTTGTAATTGCATGAAATGAAAGCAGTGATCTCTGAGTCTGAGTTTGTGAACAAAAATATTTTAAAAAAATACACTAGTGAAATATTTTTCCAAGAACAGTAAGTATAATCTTTTTTCTCTGTAATTTACAGTTCCGAACTTTAGCTTCATGCACAATGCAACCACAGCTCCGGACATATCGTACTATGACTACATTATAGTGGGTGGTGGCACTGCTGGCTGCCCCTTGGCCGCCACTCTATCCCAAAACTACAGCGTTTTGCTACTTGAACGCGGCGGCGCACCCTATGGCAACCCCAACATTACTAATTTGTCAGCCTTTGGCCGTGCACTCTCTGACCTTTCCCCCACCTCCCCTTCACAGCGCTTCATCTCCGAGGACGGTGTCATTAACGCCCGGGCCCGCGTGTTAGGTGGCGGAAGCTGCCTCAATGCCGGTTTTTACTCACGCGCCGCCACTGACTACGCCAGGTATAAATATACGTATAATTTATTATATCTAGGTACATATGATATTCACTTGTTTATTGTTATGCCTTTAGTTTTAATGGGAAAAGGAAATTAATTGTGTGCTCACACATACTTCATTTAACTAAGATCGATGCCCATTCTTGTCTTTTTACCTTTCTTTAGGGAAGCAGGATGGGATACGCGGTTAGTGAACGAATCGTACCAATGGGTGGAGCGGCTCGTGGCGTTTCAGCCACCAATACAGGCGTGGCAATCAGCGGTGCGTGCCGGTCTGGTGCAAGCCGGGGTGGTGCCCTACAACGGGTTCACTTATGACCATATCTACGGGACTAAAGTTGGGGGGACCACATTTGATCTCGAGGGACATAGACACACTGCCGCAGATTTATTACAGTACGCTAACCCCACAGGACTTACCGTGCTCTTGCATGCCACTGTCCGCAAGATCCTCTTCAGAACAAAAGGTTTGTGATCTCCTCCTCCTCTTTTCCCTTTTTTAATTTATCATGTTATTTTTCTCAATTTTTTGGAAAATGATAAGGATACTGCTTAGCAAGAATCTCATTATTCCTGCAAATTCACGGTTTGACGTTTGTGCAAAAATAATTCATTATAAACAAACAAAAAAAAAACATATGCATACATGTTATACTATTATTAGCTAATGGTAAATGGGTTTTTATTTTGGATATCTAATATTGAACAGGAAAATCAAGGCCGTTGGCCCATGGGGTGGTGTTCAGAGATGCATCAGGAACCAAGCACAGAGCTTACCTCAAGAGTGGGCCTAGAAACGAGATCATTGTATCATCTGGGGCACTTGGAAGCCCACAGCTTCTGATGTTGAGTGGGGTGGGCCCAGCAGAGCACCTCAGGGCCCACAACATCACAGTGGTGGTGGACCAACCCTTGGTTGGGCAAGGGATGTCTGACAATCCGATGAACGCAATTTTCGTGCCCTCACCCGTCCCTGTTGAGGTGTCACTCATCCAAGTGGTCGGCATCACCCACTTTGGCAGCTACATTGAAGCTGCCAGTGGTGAAAACTTCGCTGGCTCTCCTGCAACCAGAGACTTTGGAATGTTCTCTCCCAAGGTAATAATATCAATTCTCAGTTCTCCAGTTCTCAGTTCTCAATTCAATTGGGCCATGCCAAGCCCAAGTTCTCTCATTCATATACAGAAAAAATTTGATCAGCACACCCAACTCCTAATTTTTAGTTCCAATTTTACCCCTATGTGTATTGATTGAAAATAAAATGAAAATAAAATAAAATTGTAATAAGGGTCTCTGAATTATACCCGTGTTGCATTTTCGTCCTTGAGGTTGGGGTATCCCTGGTCAGGTCGCAGACTCCCTTTCTTTTCGATTATATTTTAAT